TACCTCTAATTCTTTCAATAATAACCCTACCCTCCACTTTTCCTCAGTAAACTTATTCCTATATAATTTTTACAATCTCTTTTGTCCCCCTTCCCTTTATATAAAGGGACTACACACGCTCTCCGCCAATCCCTAAGTACCTTCCCCTCTTTCATACATTAAACAAAAATACCAACCACTCCAACACGACCCCCCCCCCCGCTTTTAACCCTTTGACTGTCGCGGCCGTATACATACGTCTTACGAGGTACCGTGTTTGACGTATATATACTCATAAATTCTAGCGGCTTCAAATCAAGCAGGAGAAAGCTGGTAGGCCCACATGTGAGAGAATGGGGCTGTGTGGTCAGTGTGCACCATATAAAAAAAATCCTGGAGCACGCAGTGCATAATGAGAAAAAAAAAACTCCAACCGTTTTTTTTAATTAAAATGCCGACTTTGTGGTCTATTTTTGTATAGTATTTATGGTTGTATTCTCGTTTTCTTGGTCTCATTTGACAGAATGGAAAACATATTATAGAAATAGAGGTGATTCTGATTGATTTTACTATAAAAAGAACCTGGAAATGGAGCTCAATGTAGGGGAAATGTTTGATTTTTGCCAATGTTCAAAAGTAAACAAATGATGTCATTGTCCAATAAATGTCCAACTAGCCATTCTAATATGCAGTCATGAATGGGTTGATGTTATTTATACAATTATTACAGTATTGCAGTAGTCTGCATAATAGTAAGTCTTCTATTTTTTGTTTGAATAAAAATTCAAAATAGAAAGCAAGAGTAATATCAGAGGGGCCTGGAGACATGACTGATGAACAAAGAATATAGGGCTCAAAGTGGGCAAAATCGCCGATTCGTAAATATCGCCGAGGTCGCTAACTTCGCGAGAGCATAATTCCGCCAGTTTTCCATCAAATTTCGTTTTTTTTTTTGGTGTCATTACAATCAGGAAAAGATTCTCTATCATTTCATAAGAAAAAATAATTTTTTTTTTTTTAATTTTGTGACACCAGGAGACACCTCAGGATTGGGGGGTTGCAACAGTCAAGGGGTTAACATTTCTGTCATGATCCCGTCAGTTCCAGCTGCTTTACCCCCTTTCATTCTACGTAGTGCCTCACGCACCTCCCCCACATGCGCATCCTGTTCTTCTTCACTCCTAAAAGATGGTATACCTCCCTGACCAGTGCATGAAATTACCGCCTCCCTTTCTTCGTCGACATTTAAAAGTTCCTCAAAATGTTCTCACCATCTCCCCATCTATTAACTCCCCTACTTTGTTTTTAACTGACAAATCCATTCGTTCCCTAGGCTTTCTTAACTTTTTTAACTCACTCCAAAATTTTTTCTTATTTTCATTAAAATTTCTTGACAGTGCCTCTCCCACTCTATCATCTGCTCTCCTCTTGCACTCTCACCACTCTCTTCACCTTTCTTTTACTCTCAATATATTCTACTCTTCTTACAACATTTCTGCCTTGTAAAAACCTCTCAAACTACCTTTTTCTCTTTTATCACACCCTTTACTTCATCATTCCACCAATCACTCCTCTTTCCTCCTGCACCCACCCTCCTATAACCACAAACTTCTGCCCCACATTCTAATACTGCATTTTTAAAACTATTCCAACCCCCCCCCCCAATACTCATACTTGCACCAGCCCACTTTTCTGCCAATAGTTGCTTATATCTCACCCGAACTTCCTCCTCCCTTAGTTTATACACTTTCACCTCCCTCTTACTTGCTGTTGCCATTTTCCTCTTGTCCCATCTACCTCTAACTGTAGCTACAACTAGATAATGATCCAATAAATCAGTTGCCCCTCTATAAACATGTACATGCTGGAGCCTACCCATCAACCTTTTATCCACCAATACATAATCTAAAACTACTTTCATTAAGTGCTATATCATACCTTGTATATTTATTTATCCTCTTTTTCATAAAATATGTATTACTTATTACCAAACTTCTTTCTACACAAATTATTAAAAATTATTATTGCAAGTTATTATTATAATCATAATAAAAAAGCACTAAACCCACAAGGGTTGTGAATTGCTATATATGGAGTGAAGGCATATGAAAGGAATATTTATCTACAGTTATCCCCCAGTGTTTGACTAGAGAAAATGTAATTCTGACACTCCTACAGAGCCGCTTTGTAAACAAATCTCATATTTATGTCAATTTTTATTCTGTGGGCTTACATATAATGTTTATATGCTATGTAAAGTGTTTCTTATATGATTTTGAAGAAAATATCATAGATGGATTAATGAAAAAATACATAGTATTACTATGGCATCATGAGTAGACACTCTTAGTGATTTTAATGTGTACCTGCACGCCAGCACACTAAGTATATTTAGGTACAGGTACACATAAGCATAATTATCAGAGTGCATATAAAATATGGAATAGCTTTAAAACACTTGAAATTTTGGAAAGTTTCCAGACGTAATAGATGTGCTCACAAAGAATGTAAACGAACCGAGTGGGGCACGCTGTATTTGAAAAACCACTTGCCGTATATCAAATTTTGGTCATAATTTGAAATCTCCATATTAGCGGAATGCCCTAAGACGAAACGCCATAAAGCAGGGCCCTACTGTACTCTAGGATGAGTATGTCATGTGACAAGTGGTGGCAGCCACTCGCACTCCCGCTCTGAAAACATCTTCCCATGCTTCCTCTCACTTGTGTTTATAATTTTATGCTTTACTTCCATGGACATCATCCTCTTTTTCTTCTCAGCACTGTCCTTACCCTTACTTTTTTAGGACCCATGGTTAGAAAAAAGAAATTTGGCATAATAACTGCACAAAAACTTAAGCAAAACACAAGAGAAATCCTTCCACCGCGAGGTAAGCACGAGCATTGGTGATGGCGAGCATTGTTGTAGTATTCACTGTGCCATCTAGTGGTGGCGTTCTGAAGCTCATTTGTTATTATATTATTACAGTATATTATTATTATACATATTATATTATTATTATTATAATGGGCAAGCACTAAACCCATAGGATTATACAGCACCTGTGGGGGGGAGGAGATGGAAGGTAGTCAGGCTTAATTTAAGGAACTGGAGCACAGATAATTCCCTAGATCAAGAGCCTCTCACCAGTGCCAAGGAACCTCCCTTGAGGGGGAAGCTCGCAACCTAAATTTTGGCTCGTATCCAGGAGCAAAAAATCGACTGAGTGACGGCTTGCATCCTGAAAAACTCACATGGTGGGGTACTCATAAGCAAAGGTTCCACTGTATTTCTAACTAATTTTTCCAGAGTTTATACAACACTTCACCAGTACCAGTGATCACAAACCTATAGTTTAAAATGTCTTTGTCACTTAAAATACTGGCACAATGAGTGCTATTTCCATCATTCCATCAGTGTTCCATTTTGTAACAAGACTACAACATTTTTTAAAAGTATGGCAGTATCTTGCTTAAGCAAGATGTGTGTGTGATCCTCTTTTAGTTTATGTTTATGTGCACAAGTGTTAGTACAAGCAAATTGATCAAAATGACTATTGCCTTACAGTGCAAATTTAACATATATTATATGTTTAGTGTGTGAGATGAACAAGCAATGTATATTTAGTATTTTGGTACAAACATGACCATGCACACAACACAGGAAAGCCTAGAATACCAAAAAAAAAAAAAAAAAAAATCATGCTAATCACATCAACAAAAATTAAAGAAGCTATACATTACTGGATTAAATCTGCCAGGTACAATTAAGATAGTTAAGAAGACACAACTTCAATCAACAGAGGTAGAATACACCAGAAATAAATATTAATATAATCTGAAACTGAATGAAAGGTAACCTATTCTACATGAAATTATTTTGGTGTAAGCTAATCTTGACAAATATTTGCTAAAGACAATAACACTAATGATGTATAGTGTCAAAATTACTAATGAAAGGATAAGGTATTCATTTACAATATATGAGAAAACTTTATGAAGTACAATAAGATAAACAGTACATGATGGAACAAACATTATAAACACTCATATTGCACTCTATTTCTTGAGTAACACATCTGATAGTGCAGTACATTAATATATTTAAAATGGTGATAACAAAGGTATAGAAACACACACAGTCAAAAATATACAGCACAAACAAGACTAACATGCATCTGCTGTGCATAATCTAACATCTTTTAACACCAAATGAAGACATGCATTAAATCATGCAGTTCAAAATATCTACTAAAAAGGCAAGTGACAAAGACAGCAAGTACAGGAAAATACTACACAAGAAATACAATTGCAATAGGCATAAAAAAGTGAAGCGAATGATCTGCTACAAATATTGGTGTAGAGTACTCACAGTGGTGCCGACACGACAGCTTCTTGTATATCTGTGATGACTTCATTAGCTTTCTGCACCCTGGCCACCACAACATCCGGCCGCACCACACAACACCCAACCAACAAAAGCGAACAGAAAAGAAAGGTGCACTAAAATTGCAGATTTACAGAATCTAGAAAATTACACACAGAAGAAAGCTAATTATTAAATTAAGTCATTAAAAAGAGAATGATTCAAGCTTCAGATCTGAGAATGAATTGTAAAATTAACACAATAATTGTGGGCAAATAGCATTTGAACTTCAATTCATAAATTTATGGTGATTAAAATTTAAAGACTTTGCTTCCTTCTTGCATGTAAAAACCACATATAAGTACTATAGTAAAATCAATTAAAAGCAATACCAGAAAAAGCAGACCCCAAGATCTTTCACCTACATATAATTTGTAAAATCATATTTAGATCAATTTTTTTAAAGCAATTATCTGGGTTACAACTCAAGAAATGTGTCTATAATGTATAAGAATTCAAAATGAAAAACCTTAGGGTATACAGTGGTGCAAATATACACTGGCTAAAACTAACCAGAGATGCAGATTTCCAAATACAGGCACATGTTTTCTTAAACTACAGGAGGCAAAAGTAGCATTTATTAAGTCATTCCCAAAATCCTGGCCACCTAAAATGCATTCCTTTCATAAACCAACCTAAAATTTGTAAAATGGTACTTACACAGGTAAACTTTGGACATATTGAGTGCTAAAACAAGAGAAAAATAAGCATTACTTAATAAAGGATGACAAAAATCTTCAACACATTACAGTATTACAGAAAAATAACTTAAAGTATAAAAACTTAGGATTTAATTTTATTCTAATGAAAACAAGTTAAACACCAAATTATTATAATTTTTAGTTTACCAAGCCCAAAGTAATTAGTTTTGCACTTTGTGTTTGGTAACATAGAAGAGTCAATAAATTTCAATTGTGCATAATTTAAGAACATACTGTTCCAGTTCTGGTATGCCCAATTTATTGAATACTCTACTGAGTGTGTGCACATACATGCATTCATGACAAAAGAGGACAACAACTTATCAGTTAAGTCACCAGTACCAATCAGTGACTTAGTAATCACACACACGCAACACACACACAGCACACACACACACACCACACACACGCAACACACATGCAACACACACACAGCACACACACCCACACACCCATGCCTACATACATCCCCACCCTCTGAAGTGAAAACTATTGTAAGCACACTTTACACAGTATTTAGTAACTTGCATTTATGCCTCAATTTTAAATTTTTTTTTTTTTGTCATCCAAAAATTCAGGTGCAATGAACAAATGCCACTCTCCACTGTACTAAACATTTATCCAATATATCTCTAAGCGGCCCAAGGCCATGTGCTTTCAGGGTTCCAGACAAGCAGGGGGCACTGACCCTGCTGCAGTCTGTTATTGTCCACACACAATTGCACCAAGTCATCATCCTGTCTTCAATTCTCCCATGAATTTACAGCATTTTGTTTTTTTTGCCACTATTAACATATTATATACAGTGTTATTAGTAATGGCTTCTAGACCAAGTGGTGGTGCACAGAGGGAGTGTGAATCTCTGAGTGATATGAAACTTTAGTAAGGAAGGTAAAGTTTGGCGAATTAATATTTATCACAAACAGTGTCTGATGTCCATAGAAGCAAGGGCAAACCGACAGCATATGCTATATTATGCTTAGTGTTGATGTTAGCCTAAAAGATTCATCAGCTGGTCAAGATAAGAGAGTTAAAGAAGCAATAAATAAATGGTAGATTCAACAATGTTCTGTTGGAGTTGATGTTCATTACACTGATCCTCACTCTGCTATTAACCCTGACTGTCGTAAGCCCCTTTCTGAAACTGTCATTCTATGTCGCAAAATTTTTGGGAAAAAAAAAAAAAATTCCTTTTTTCTTATAAAATGATAAGAGAATCTTTTCCCGATGGTAATGACACCAAAAGTACGAAATTTGGTCGAAAACTCATGGAATTACGCTCCCACAAAGTTAGTGGTCATGGCGACATATATGCATCGGCAATTTCGCTGACTGAGCCATTTTTGGCCAATTCCGTTGTTCCAGTTGACCAAACTCATAGCTATTTCTTTAGAAGTCCACTTTTTCTATCAGTTGAGTACAAGAAACTGCCCATTTACCAATTTGAAGTACCCAGTAAAGTGGTCAGAAATTGGCAATTTGGCCAATTTCATGCAAATTAAAAAAGATGCCAATTTCAAAATAGGGTCCAGAAAAAATAATGTAGACATTTTTGGCACTAAAATAACATATCCTCTGTTCATTAGTCACATCTCTAGGCCCCCCTTATATTACTATTGCTTTCTATTTTGATTTTTTATTCATACAAAAAATACAAAATTTACTGTTTTGCAGACTAATGCAGTATTGTAAAAATGGTATAAATAATATCAGTGCACTAGTGAAAGAATATTAGACTCTCCAGTTGATGTGCCTTGGACTTGTGGTGTGATTTGCTTACTCCTGAACATTGGTAAAAATCGAACATATCCGCTACTTTGAGCTCAATTTCAAGGTTCATTTTCATCATGAAACTGATCAAAATCATCTCTATTTCTGTAATATGTTTTCCATTTTATCACACGAGACCATCAAAACGAGAATACAACGATAAATACTATATGAAAATACACCTCAAAGTCGGCATTTTAATCCAAAAAAAAAAAAAAAAAACGGTCAGTTTTTTCTCATTATGCACTGTGTGCTGCAAGATTTATTTTATGTGGTGCACACTGACCACACAGACCCATTCTCTCACATGTGGGCCCACCAGGTTTCTCCTGCTTGATTTGAAGCCACTAGAGTTTTTTATTTTATTATTATCACACTGGCCGATTCCCACCAAGGCAGGGTGGCCCGAAAAAGAAAAACTTTCACCATCATTCACTCCATCACTGTCTTGCCAGAAGGGTGCTTTACACTACAGTTTTTAAACTGCAACATTAACACCCCTCCTTCAGAGTGCAGGCACTGTACTTCCCATCTCCAGGACTCAAGTCCGGCCTGCCGGTTTCCCTGAACTCCTTCATAAATGTTACTTTGCTAACACTCCAACAGCACGTCAAGTATTAAAAACCATTTGTCTCCATTCACTCCTATCAAACACGCTCACGCATACCTGCTGGAAGTCCAAGCCCCTCGCACACAAAACCTCCTTTACCCCCTCTCTCCAACCTTTCCTAGGCCGACCCCTACCCCACTTCCTTCCACTACACTCTTGAAGTCATTATGTTTCGCTCCATTCTCTCTACATGTCTGAACCACCTCAACAACCCTTCCTCAGCCCTCTGGACAACAGTTTTGGTAATCCCGCACCTCCTCCTAACTTCCAAACTACGAATTCTCTGCATTATATTCACACCACACATTGCCCTCAGACATGACATCTCCACTGCCTCCAGCCTTCTCCTCGCTGCAACATTCATCACCCATGCTTCACACCCATATAAGAGCGTTGGTAAAACTATACTCTCATACATTCCCCTCTTTGCCTCCAAGGACAAAGTTCTTTGTCTCCACAGACTCCTAAGTGCACCACTCTCTCTTTTTCCCTCATCAATTCTATGATTCACCTCATCTTTCATAGACCCATCCGCTGACACGTCCACTCCCAAATATCTGAATACATTCACCTCCTCCATACTCTCTCCCTCCAATCTGATATTCAATCTTTCATCACCTAATCTTTTTGTTATCCTCATAACCTTACTCTTTCCTGTATTCACCTTTAATTTTCTTCTTTTGCACACCCTACCAAATTCATCCACCAATCTCTGCAACTTCTCTTCAGAATCTCCCAAGAGCACAGTGTCATCAGCAAAGAGCAGCTGTGACAACTCCCAATTTGTGTGTGATTCTTTATCTTTTAACTCCACGCCTCTTGTCAAGACCCTCGCATTTACTTCTCTTACAACCCCATCTATAAATATATTAAACAACCACGGTGACATCACACATCCTTGTCTAAGGCCTACTTTTACTGGGAAATAATTTCCCTCTTTCCTACATACTCTAACTTGAGCCTCACTATCCTCGTAAAAACTCTTCACTGCTTTCAGTAACCTACCTCCTACACCAAACACTTGCAACATCTGCCACATTGCCCCCCTATCCACCCTGTCATATGCCTTTTCCAAATCCATAAATGCCACAAAGACCTCTTTAACCTTATCTAAATACTGTTCACTTATATGTTTCACTGTAAACACCTGGTCCACACACCCCCTACCTTTCCTGAAGCCTCCTTGTTCATCTGCTATCCTATTCTCCGTCTTACTCTTAATTCTTTCAATAATAACTCTACCATACACTTAACCAGGTATACTCAGCAGACTTATCCCCCTATAATTTTTGCACTCTCTTTTATCCCCTTTGCCTTTATACAAAGGAACTATGCATGCCTCTCTGCCAATCCCTAGGTACCTTACCCTCTTCCATACATTTATTAAATAATTGCACCAACCACTCCAAAACTATATCCCCACCTGCTTTTAACATTTCTATCTTTATCCCATCAATCCCGGCTGCCTTACCCCCTTTCATTTTACCTACTGCCTCACGAACTTCCCCCACACTCACAACTGGCTCTTCCTCACTCCTACAAGATGTTATTCCTCCTTGTCCTATACACGAAATCACAGCTTCCCTATCTTCATCAACATTTAACAATTCCTCAAAATATTCCCTCCATCTTCCCAATACCTCTAAACTCTCCATTTAATAACTCTCCTCTCCTATTTTTAACTGACAAATCCATTTGTTCTCTAGGCTTTCTTAACTTGTTAATCTCACTCCAAAACTTTTTCTTATTTTCAACAAAATTTGTTGATAACATCTCACCCACTCTCTCATTTGCTCTCTTTTTACATTGCTTCACCACTCTCTTAACCTCTCTCTTTTTCTCCATATACTCTTCCCTCGTTGCATCACTTCTACTTTGTAAAAACTTCTCATATGCTAACTTTTTCTCCTTACTACTCTCTTTACATCATCATTCCACCAATCGCTCCTCTTCCCTCCCGCACCCACTTTCCTGTAACCACAAACTTCTGCTGAACACTCTAACACTACATTTTTAAACCTACCCCATACCTCTTCGACCCCATTGCCTATGCTCTCATTAGCCCATCTATCCTCCAATAGCTGTTTATATTTTTACCCTAACTGCCTCCTCTTTTAGTTTATAAACCTTCACCTCTCTCTTCCCTGATGCTTCTATTTTCCTTGTATCCCATCTACCTTTTACTCTCAGTGTAGCTACAACTAGAAAGTGATCTGATATATCTGTGGCCCCTCTATAAACATGTACATCCTGAAGTCTACTCAACAGTCTTTTATCTACCAATACATAATCCAACAAACTACTGTCATTTTGCCCTACATCATATCTTGTATACTTATTTATCCTCTTTTTCTTAAAATATGTATTACCTATAACTAAACCCCTTTCTATACAAAGTTCAATCAAAGGGCTCCCATTATCATTTACACCTGGCACCCCAAACTTACCTACCACACCCTCTCTAAAAGTTTCTCCTACTTTAGCATTCAGGTCCCCTACCACAATTACTCTCTCACTTGGTTCAAAGGCTCCTATACATTCACTTAACATCTCCCAAAATCTCTCTCTCTCCTCTGCATTCCTCTCTTCTCCAGGTGCATACACGCTTATTATGACCCACTTCTCGCGTCCAACCTTTACTTTAATCCACATAATTCTTGAATTTACACATTCATATTCTCTTTTCTCCTTCCGTAACTGATCATTTAACATTACTGCTACCCCTTCCTTTGCTCTAACTCTTTCAGATACTCCAGATTTAATCCCATTTATTTCCCCCCACTGAAACTCTCCTACCCCCTTCAGCTTTGTTTCGCTTAGGGCCAGGACATCCAACTTCTTTTCATTCATAACATCAGCAATCATCTGTTTCTTGTCATCCGCACTACATCCACGAATTTATGCATATTAATATGCAAGACTCGTAAGACGTATATATAGTACGACCAAAACAATCAAAGGGTTAAGAGTCCAACAAGTGAAGGTGGGTTTGGCACTCCCTAATCACCATGAACCAAGTAACAAAACTGTGTGTAGAGGCTGGTACTGAACCCACGGATGAAATTGTACTGTTCAGATTAATGTTAAATGATCTGAGAAAATGAGAGGCTTCTTGTATCTTAGGTGTAATAGTGCTGATAAGACCAGTCTCTCTTGGCATTCACTACCTTCCCAAACTAGCCTTTTTAACAATATAACTGTTGGTGAGATTCATTCTAAGAAACTTTCAATGTGGTCACCATGGGGCCCATGCTAACCTTCCTAGGATAAAGAAATATAATAATTGGATGAATCTTATTAAACCAGCAGTGTGCAGTGTTAACACACTGGTCTGCTAATTTTAACACTTTCACTGTCTACACTCCCAAAAATTATTACAGCTTTGTGTCCAAAAAAACGAGACCGTAATTTTTTATTAAAACAGTGACTCTGTAGTGCTTTTTCCTATGTTTTTTATAGTTGTATTTACAATTTCTTGGTCTCATTTGATAGAATGGAAGATGTATTACAGAAATAGAGATGATTTTTATTGGTTTTAGTACTGGAAATGACTTGAAGCTGAGCTCAAAGTAGCAGAAATGTTAAATTTTTGCCAATGTTCAAGAGTAAACAAATGACCTCACATGTCTAATACACGCCAGCTGGTAGGTCTAATATACGTTCATAAATGTGGCAATATTATTTATACAATTATTACAGTATTGCATAACAGTAAATCTACTATTTTTTGGTTTGAATAAAAATTCATTATGTGAATAAAAAATAAAAATGGAATAATCTGAAAAGCCTGATAACATAATTGATGAACAGAGGAAATGTTAGTTTAGTGTCAGGAATGGCTGCATTGTTTATTCTGGACCCTATTTTGAAACTGGAATATTTTGAACTTTGCATTAAATTGGCCAAATTACCATTTTCCAATCACTTTATTTTGTAGTTGAAACAGTTGACTTGGCGATTTCTTGTACTCAGTCGATAGAACAGAAGTAATACTAGTGAAATAGCTAAGAATTTGGTCAACTGGAATAATGTAATTGGCCTAAAATGGGAGGCAAGTTCAGCAAAAATCGCCGATGCGTAAATATTGCTGAAACATCAAAATTCGCGAGAGCATAATTTCGTCAATTTTCCATCAAATTTCATACTTTTTTGTTGTATTACCTTCAGAATAAGATTCTCTACCATTTCATAAGAAAAAATAATTATTTTTTGAAAATTCTTGGACACTGGTGCACACTTTGAAATTTGACCTCTTGACCCTGAAAGGGTTAATTCTGTAAGAAAAACTTATTTTTTTTTTTATTCAAATTTCTTGAACACTGGGGCACCCCTTCCGATTTTGGCCTTGGAACCTGAAAGGGTTGAGAAAAACAGTGTTGTCAAGGCTAATTTGTGTGTGATGTGGAAGGAAAACAGTAAGGCATGGGTCACTAGGGGCATTTTCCAAGATTGGTTCTATCATGTGTTTGGCCCCATTGTGAAAAATTACCTCCTGGAAAATAAATTGTACCTCAAGTGCCTCCTGCTCATCCTCCCGGCTTGCCAGAACGAATTGCGGGGGACTTGAGCTTCATCAAAGAAGTTTTTGCCTCCTAATATCACTCCTCTCCTCCAGCCCATGGCCCAGCAGGTCATTTCAAATTTAAAAAAAAACTGTACACCAAAGCAGTGTTTCAAAAGTGCTTTGAAGTGACCTCAGACACTGAATTGACCCTAAGAGTTTCAGAAAGATCACTTTAGTATCCTCAGTTGCATAAACCTTATAGGTAAGGCTTGGGAGGGAGTGACTTGCAGGACTTTGAACTCTGCTTGGAGGAAATTGTGGCTACAATGTGTACAAGAGAGAGATTTTGAAAGGTTTGAGGCTAACCCTGAGGAGCCTATACCAGTTGTGGAATCTATTGTGTGATTGGGGAAATCCATGGGGTAAGAGGTTAGTGGGGAGGATGTGGAAGAGTTGGTGGATGACGACAATGAAGAACTAACCACTGATGAGCTGCAAGACCATCTGCAACAGCAAGAGACCACAACTGAGGAAATTGCTTCAGAGGAGGGGAGAGAGAGAGAGATGGAGGAAGTTGCCTTCTTTAACGATTAAGGACATTTGTACAATGTGGACAAAGGTGCAAGCCCTTATGGAAGAACATCACCCTGACACAACTATTGCAAGCCATGCTGGTGACTTTTACAATGACAATGTTGTGGTCCATTTTAGGAAAATCTTAAAGGAATGCCAGATACAGAGCTCTATGGACAGATTTTTGGTGCAACAGAAGTCCAGTGACTGTCAAGTTGTTCCCAATGGCATTAAAAAAAGAAGGGAAGTAACCCCGGAAAAAGACTTGCTACCTAAAGTCCTTATGGAAGGGGATTCTCCTTCCAAACAATAATACACCTCCATCATCTCCCCTTTCTATCTCATCACTCATCAATAAATCTTCAATAAAGGTTAGTGTTATTTATTCTTCATGTAGTACTTATGTAGGAGAGGGAGATTATTTCCCAGTAAAAGTAGGCCTTAGACAAGGATGTGTGAAGTCACCATGGTTACTCAATATATTTATAGATGGGGTTGTAAGAGAAGTGAATGCAAAGGTCATGGCAAGAGGTGTGGAGTTAAAAGATAAAGAATCAAACACAAAGTGGGAGTTGTCTCAGTTGCTCTTTGCTGATGACACTGATTTTGGGAGATTCTGAAGAGAAGTTGCAGAGGTTGGTGGATGAATTTGGTAGGGTATGTAAAAGAAGTAAATTAAAAGTGAACATAGGAAAGAGTAAGGTTATGAGGATAACAAAAAGATTAGGTGGTGAAAGATTGGGTATCAGACTGAAGGGAGAGAGTATGGAGGAGGTGAATGTATTCAGATATTTAGGAGTGGACATGTCAGCAGATGGGTCTATGAAGGATGAGTGAATCATAGAACTGATGAGGGGAAAAAGGTGAGTGGTGCACTTAGGGGTCTGTGGAGAAAAAGAACTTTGTCCGAGAGTATAGTTGTACCAACACTCTTGTATGGGTGTGAAACATGGGTGATGAATGTTGCAACGAGGAGGAGGCTGGAGGCAGTAGAGACGTCTTGTCTAAGGGCAAAGTGTGGTGTGAATGTAATGCAGAGAATTCATAGTTTGGAAATTAGGAGAAGGTGTGGGAAGGTGTTAGCGGTGAAAAGAGACAAAGAAGAGAAACACCAGAACAGCTGCCTGACATACTAATAGAAGGTGACTCTCCTTCCAAGCAGTAACATCCCCCCTTCTCTCCTCCACCTCTTGCTTCCAGTATGTCATTAGCTCTCCTTTGACAGGAAAGAGGCAGTTAAATTTTCACTTCCTGCACAGTATTTCAGTTAAAGTTTCTTTTAGTATTCATTTTTACAGTTTTATGTAGCAGTATATCTTAAATAAATTATATTATCATCTGGGGTCTGGAATAGATTAATTCTACTAACATTATTCTTCATGGGAAAAACTGCTTTGGTCGTCGTGCATGTTGGTTGTTGAATCAGCATCTAGAACGAATTAAATTCGACAACCAAGGTTCCACTGTAATACTGCACTTCCTAACATCCATTAACAAAAGCTTGTTGGCGTTTTCAGCTTCTGCCTGCATTCCTTGGCCTTCTTTGTTCAAATAATGTAAATTTACAATTGAGGGAAGGTGATGTGCAGGGCCATTCCAGAAAGGGTTGAGATTTTGAGAGGAAGGAGCATTAGCATCCCATAGATCAGATCAGAATGAAAATGAACAAAAAGGCACAATACTCTGACTGAAGCAATACAAAAATAACCCACACATAGGAGAGAGGAGCATACAATGACATCTCAGTTCAACTCGGACCATTTGTAAATGGTCCAAGTCAAACTGAAATGGTCCTTGGACCATCTGTAAGTGGTCCAAGTCAGACCAAAATGTCATCATAAGCTCCTCTTTCCTATGTGCAGATTATCTGTGTATAGATCAGAATGAAGGAGACAAGTGGTTTTAGGGACTTAATGTGTTAGAATGTGAGCAAGGTAATATTTATGGAAGAGATTCAAGGAAACCAGTTAACCAGACTTTAATCTTGGAGGTAGAAAGTAAAATGCTTGCACTTTGAAGGATGGATGGGATGCCATTGTAATGTCTGTACACTTCAGCAAATACATACGAAGAATACATGGTGGATGTGTTTGCTTTCCCTGGGTATTTGACTTGCTGGAAAATGGTCAGTTTAAAAAAATATACAAGAAGTCCCCAATAATTATATGATAAAAGAATATTCAACCTTAAACCCCCCTGGAGAGATATGAACACCATTATACCAATAAACAGATCAATTCTTGGAGAACAGAGCTTCAATATTAAATTAATCCTGAAAAAAAGCATTTTTATCGCTAGTAATGATCCGTTCAAGCACTGTACTTACGTCTGAGATTCACGGACTGTTTTCATGGAATTGTTGAAATCCTCAGTAAACTCACGCCAGACAGTAATTCCAAGTCTACGCTTGAGATCCTGTGCATGTTTTACTTTAGAGCCCAAAACCTGCCGCAGGGTCTGGATTTCCTCCTCAGTCTGCCAAAAATAAAATTAAAATTACAGAAAATTGTTACCATATTAGTGTTCAGCTGTAAAAAAAAAAAAAAAAAAAAGTGTTCAGTTACCAAAAAAATTAAGGCATGATGTTCATAGGATTTATAAGGAAAAAATTATCATGGCTTGTAGCTCAGTGGTAGAGCTTTTGGTTCAAAACCAAAGGTTCTGAGTTAAATCATGGGGAGGGTGGAGATGCTGGGCATGTTTCCTTATGCCTGTTGCCCCTGTCTACCTAGCAGTAAATAGGTATCAGTGTTAGCCAACTGTACTGCATCCAGGGAGGTTGCAGTAGACAGCTAGGACTGAGCTTTCAAACTGAAACGAGCCAAGGTAGTATAACAGTTTTAGGCCTATAAATTTACTGGCACAAAAAGGCAACTAACTATAAAGCATCACATGAAGTAAATTTTCTTTAGATCTTATACACATAGTAAATAACATCATGTGCTAAGAACATTCCATTTCATACTTTCCTCCAACAATGTACCACTCAAATTGTAGCACAACTTCAGTTTCCTCTAATAGAATGTACTTTTAACCATAATAGTACACAGCCTCTCCTCACTTAACCCTTTTACTGTTGAGACCTCTGATCCCAAACTCACTCAGTGTCAAGAAAAAGAAAAAAAAATTATCAAAATCTTAAGAATACTTTCCTGATTGTTTTAAAAGAAAAAAAAAAAACTTTTGTGATCAGTACTTACTGAGACAGAGGCATGAAGTTGACAAAGTGAACTGCTTATGGCAACACTGGTAAACTGCTGCTCACTCGGTAATATTATTTTTACTTTTCATTTTTTTCTTTTCTTTTCTAATATTTTAAATTTTCAAGTAACTTTTGTGGCCTGTGAGACCAATATATAATGCATATATATCCACTCAATGTATGCAACACAATAACCACACAAACATTGTTATCATTATATTGTTTACAAAACATGTTTACACAAACCCACGTTGCCTTCTCTACTACCCATCCAACCACATGGAAGTAAGTCACTTTTACTTTTTTGTGTCATCCTAGGTAATCTACACATATGCTGCTATTTTATTTATTTATTTAATGTCTTTGCAAACAGTACATTTCAATTCAAGTTAATTCTCTATAAGGGTTACAATGTGGGGTTTACAGGCTTTGGGTATTGTGTGGTTTACATGTTATAAAATACTACTTGCAGAGGGGGCCACTAGGACACCTAGCATGGCTAGGCATTTCGAGCAGACTTAGATTAATTCTTAACCTTAAATCCTTACAGATTATGGTATTAAGGCTAAGTGACTACATCATAATTTGTGAGTTTAGCAATGTGAATGCTTTTGTTTTGGCACAATAAAAGGTGTCTATATTGGAGTACAATAAGCAAACTTATGACTAGTTAGGATTTATTATTTTAAGATTAAGATTAGTATTTCTGGGTTTATAGTCAGTGGGTGAGTGAGCGTAATTGTGAACCACTAGGTGGTTATCATGTAGTTAGTTGTCGGGGTGGATCAGGGAGATAAGATGTTTTCTAACTGTAGTTTTGAAAGTGATGAATGTGTCTGCAGTTCTAGAGTTTTCAGGTAGGGTGTTCCAGATTTTAGGTCCTTTGAAATACATTGAATTTTTGTAAAGGTTTAGTCGAACACGGGGAATGTCACAGAGATGTTTGTGTCTTGTGTTATGCCTGTGGGTTCTGTCACAACTATCAAGAAAGCATTTTAGGTCAAGGTTAATATTGGAATTTAAGGTCCTGTAGATATAGATTGCACAGTAGTAAGTGTGGATGTTCTGAACAGGGAGTAAGTTTTGATCTATGAAGAGTGGGGGGGTGTGTTGCCAGGGATGGGATTTCGTGATTATTCTTACTGCGGCTTTTTTTTGGGTTATTATTGGCTTTAGGTGTGTTGCTGCAGTTGAACCCCAAGCACAGATAGCATAGGTGAGGTATGGATATATAAGTGAATGGTATAGTGTGAGAAGGGCAGTTTGCGGCACGTAGTATCGTATCTTGGAGAGGATCCCCACCGTTTTGGATACTTTTTTTGTTTGAGATTTTGTATATACAATAGTGGGTTGCAATGCAAAGAGAGCCTCTATTATGCCTAGGCATTATGGGCCAACTTAACATTATTGGCTTACATTCTACTTAATACTAAGGAGTAGTATATTATAGTTGTACAGTAGCAAAGTAATTATTTCATAGTTGTATAGTAGAATATTAATTATAAATGAATCAAAATTTGTATAATACAAAGATATATGAATTTATATTCTAAAATGCTTTTGTGAAAAACAATGGTTCAATTATATTCCTGTCAACAATGGATAAAAGGTTCAATGTGATTGTTTCAGTTATGATGTGGGAGTACATAGGTGAGTAAATGTGTACTGAGTATTTAGCATTTAGTCTAGGGTGATTAAGTGGCTTTTGAGAAGAGTCTTAAATTGATTTTCAGACTGGGTTACTTTAATATCTTCTGGTAATGAATTCCATATTTTGGGGCCCTTTATGTGCATAGTTTTTAAACAGTGTGATATGGACACGAGGTATATCAAAAAGAGATCTGTCTCTTGTGTTGTGGTCATGTGTCCTGTTTAGGTTGGTGAGGAAAAGTTTGAGTGGGGGGGTTTATATTTGCGTGTATTGTTCTGTGTATGTAGTAGGCACATGAATAAGTATGGATGTTCTTAATGGTAAGCAGATTCAGACTTTTGAAAATTGGTGGAGTATGCTGGCGGGAGTGGGAATTTGTTATCATTCTTACTGCTGCCTTTTGCTGGGTTATTAGGGGTTTTAGGTGATTGGATGTTGTTGATCCCCATGCACAAATTCCATATGTAAGATAAGGGTATACGAGTGAATGGTACAGTGCCAGGAGAGATGATTGTGGAACGTAGTACCTTATCTTTGATAGTATGCCTACAGTCTTGGAGATTTTCTTGGTGATTTGTTGTATGTGTGTCCGGAACTTAAGGCTACTGTCAAGGTGGATACCTAGGAATTTTCCCTCTGAGTTTTGTGACTGATGATCCATTTAGCATAATGTTGATTGGATCATTAGCAGCTTTGTTTCCAAACTGAATGAAATAGGTTTTATCAGTGTTCAGGGTAAGTTTGTTAGTCATCATCCAGGCAGATATTTTCTGTAATTCAGCATTGACTGTGTTTGCTAGTATGACTGCATTTGGGTGGGAAAATACATATGTAGTGTCATCTGCAAATAATATGGGTTTGAGTAGCTGTGATGCATTCAGTAGATCATTGATGTAGATGAGAAAGAGGAGTGGTCCAAGGACACTTCCTTGTGGGGCTCCTACTGTGATTGGTTGGGTGGAGGAGTTTGCATCATTTGCATACACATACTGAGTTCTGTTACTAAGGTATAACTTTAGGTAGTTGAGGGAGCGGCCTCTGATACCACAGTGGATTAATTTGGAGTACAGTAGTTCATGATCGACTGTATTGAAAGCTTTACGTAAATCAATGAAAATGCCCAGCGGGACTTCTTTCTTTTCAAGTGCGGTATATATTAGTTCTAGCATGTGTATGATAGCGTCATTTGTGCTTTTATTATTCCTGAATCCAAACTGACAAGGGTTTAATATGTTGTGTGAAACGAGGTAAGAATAAGATCCGTCTATGAATTAATTTTTCAAAGATTTTAGAGAGCTGTGTTAAGTTAGATATTGGTCTATAGTTACTCAAGTCAGCTTGGTTTGTTTACACAAACCTCACGCTGTCTTCCCCACAAGAAAAAAAAAAAAAACAGTACTGGGCCCCTGCATGATGGGACATACACAGATGACACCCAAGAAATGAGTGAGACATTAAAGTCCCAATACAACTCAGTGTTTAGCGAGCCGCTGCCCAGACAGAGTTGACAATCCAAATGAATTCTTTATGAACGAAACCCAAAATTTGGTCATCTCAAAAATCTTGGATATTATCCTAACTCCACAAGACCTTGAAAAGGCAATAAATGATATGACCATGCACTCAGCCCCGGGCCCAGACTCGTAGAACTCCGTGTTCATCAAGAATTGCAAGAAGCCCCTATCGTGTGACTTCAGCATTCTATGGAGAGGGAGCATGGACACAGGGGTCATCCCACACACACTAAAAACAACAGACATAGCCCCACTCAACAAAGGTGGCAGTGAAGCAATTGCAAAGAACTACAGACCAATGGCACTAACATCCCATATCATAAAAATCTGAGTATGTTCCAAGAAGCAAGATCGCCAACCACCTAGATACCCATTAATTATACAACCCAGAGACAGGGGTTTAGAGCAGGTCACTCCTGCCTGTCACAGCTACTGAACCACTATGACAAGGTCCTGGATGCTGTAGAGGATAAACAAAATACAGATGTAGTATACACAGACATTGCAAAAGCTATCGACAAGTGTGACCATGGTGTAATAGCACAAAATGTGTGACAAAGGAATAACAGGAGAAGTTGGTAGATGGATCTATAACTTCCTGACAAACAGAACACAATGAGTAATAGTAAAAAAACAGTAAAATCCCAGGCAGCTATGGTGAAAAGCTCTGTTCCACAAGGCACAGTACTCGCTCCCATTCTATTCCTCATCCTCATATCTGACAGAGATGTAAGCCATAACTCCACGTCTTCCTTTGTCGATGACACCTGGATTACCACGTCAGTGACCTCCATTGAAGACGCCACAAGACTCCAATTAGACATGAACCAAATCTTCAAATGGGCCACTCAAAACAATATGAAATTCAACGAGGAGAAATTTCAACTACTCAGATATGGAAAACTTGAGGAAATTAAAAATGCATTGGGGTATATGACAAATTCTAACCATACAATAGAGTGAAAAAGTAATGCGAAGGACCTGGGAGTGTTAATGTCAGAGGATCTAGTCTTCAAAAACCACAACAATGTATCTACCGCATCTGCTAGGAAAATGATAGGAAGGATAATGAGAACTTTCAACACTAGGGATGCCAAGCACATGATGA